ACCAATATTGGCACAATGTTCTTTCCGTTTCCTTACATTATTGTAATTTAATGTCAAGATCAAAATGATCTGGGTGACCTTTAGACCCTTGGGGAAGGTTGAAATCGCATATGGAAAAATAGTCATTATCTCAGAGGGAAACTTTTCTGTGACAATTTTAATAAAGCCAATTATTTTCTAGAAATGTAGATGTCCTAATGGTGGCGAGGATTGCATTCAACCATGTTCACTTGTGAAATTCAACCATGTTCACTTGTGTTCTTTTAGGCTTTAAGTCCTAACAAAGAAATACAGCTTCCCTTTCTGTGTAGTTCCTACCCTTACAAGGTTGAAAGACTCCATAACTCCTCACCTTCACTGATGACCAACAGGAATGGAGGTCATGTCATCTTTAATATTAGGAGGGGATATAAAGGATTCTTTACTATATTTTAAGGCTTTAAGCAAGAATATTTTTCTTCAAATTTTCATTTTCACTTCCCTGAAATTGTAAGATCTGTCCCCATGACCACAAGTAAATATTGGTGATATCTGGCAAATGAAATATATATGGGCCTGAAACATAATTCATCCAGCCAGTTATTTATAGTCAAATAAACCTGAATAAATTATTTGGATATATTCATGGGATAAAATAGAGCACTATAGGATAATGATCGTTGAATAATTATTTCAGGAGTAAAGAAAGGAAAAGGATATGATTTTTTAAATGAGATCCTTACACAGATTTAAATTGTTTTAAAAGTAATTCTTATCTACACTGAAATGATTTGTGTAATATTGAGAACATTTAATTTGCATAATATTGGGAAATTTTACTTAACTTCTGTAAATCTTTTTTTGAAGTTTTACTTGAAAAGAAGAGATGTTAAGACATTCCATCTCACTAGATAATCTAAATAATTAAGTTTAATATGGTACATAAAACTTCTGGTGGAGCACTTAACATAGAGTAGGGACTGGATCATCTTTATTCTGCTTTTCTTTCTTGACAGTTTACAGCAACATATATTATAGAAGCAAGTTCCTTCTAGAGGAATCTGGTATTTAAAAGTGGTAGCTGACACTTTCATAAGAGATGCCTTGTTTTGTGGCCATCCAGTAACTAAGCTTTTTCAAAGCTCAGCTCTATTGTGGTCATAACTCTTCGTTTGGCGTCAGTAGCAATAATAATGGCTTTACAAGTCAAAAAGTAACAACTATCATATACCCTCATGCTTGCTGTGTGAGAGAGAAATCAATTGATATTATGTTTTTAAAAATTTAATACTCATAGCAACACTGCAAGACTTATTTAAAAGTCTCATCAATGGGCAGGGTTTTTATTTTTAAACGTGATTTTTTAGGCTATTTTATGAGGATTGAAGAAATGGTTTTTGTGGGTTGTTTTTTTTTTTTGAAAATATTTATGAAACTTTATTATGTCAAATCTCAGTAAAGAGGCCAACACAAGGAGAAAAAGGAGGGTGGGATAAGGAAAGGGAGATGGCGATGTGGGGAAAAATGAATGGAGGGACAAGACTCTTGTTTTTGTTTTGTGGGACAAGTGCCTTTAACCAAGGGATAGATGGGCTTATGGAAATACGGTCTTTGGTCTCACAGGTATTTGTCTACTGTGATGTTGAATATATTGTTGTGTTAAAGGCATCATTGAAGACAAATAGTGCTTGGCTAGCAGCTGAAAAGTTTGCTTAATGAATAAAATAAAGATGCATTATTGTACTATATTTTATAGTAATTCAGAGTTTAAAATTTGCTGGAGAAAGCCATTACTTTCTCCATAAAAAGAGTAACTGTGATAATAATATGAAGGCTAGGTGGTTTGTCACTGGCCATACGGCTGGGGCAGTCTAACCTCACCTGTAATCGAATCTTCAAGTCATGTCACTCATGCCCCTACCTGTCATCATAGGCTGCTACTCTGTCTCTATATCATTGCATTTTCTGTATCAGTATTTGACACTTGTTTTAAAATTAAAAGGAGCTTAACACTCACACACCATGTGCATCTGCAGAGCTGCACGGCTTAACTTCATGTAGGACTCCCTGGACTTCCTGTGGCCAACTTCTAACTTGGCAAAGCCTTGGAGCATCTGAATTTTCATTACTTTATTGGTGTACCTCCTTGAGGATAAAGCTTCATTTACATATCCGTAGTCCCTTTTCAGCATTGGTGAGAAATTGAAATGTTCAAGGTGAATTAATCGCTAATGTTTCGAGTGGGCGGGTGCAGCTGTGACAGTGAGTGAAGCGGGAAGGGGGAGCGGTCAGGGAGAGGCTCCTCTTTCTCCTGGTGAGAAATGATGATCCAGTTTCATCTCTCTGAAATCACTCATTCTGTTTCCTCACTGTGCTCCTCTCCTGTGTTCACGTTTAAAATACTGGTCTGTAAAGGAGTGTCAGAAAGCCAGAGAAATATTACCTAATTCTTTATTTTAAAATGTGTCCTCATTATTAACTTTAGACAATCACAGTGAACTAGAAAGAGCAAGAAGAAAAATAATCAGCGTTTTCTCCCAGATATGTGTTGATATAGGTAACATTCCAAATGTAGAAATGTCCAGTTACAGTGATGGCAGGCTGGGGGCACATGCTTCATGCTGTACCATCTTTTTTTTATGTGAATAAATGTTACAAATTCAGAGAGAGAGGTAATTGCATCAGGAAAAGGACCAAGGATGCTTGGGTCACATCAGGCCCCAGAAGACTTTCCACTTCCCAATGCTTACTAGGCCCCGGGACAGAATAGTAAAGTTAGATAGGAGGGTCAAGCAAGCTACTCACTCCCATCACGTGCCCCCAACACTAACCACCCTGGAGATGGGTACTAGATAACTGGGGACAACCCATTGCTCTGTAGTTTCTTCCAATTAGCCAACCCACAGGAGCACATAAACCTTACCTAACCGCACCCATTCATTAGCTGTCCCCAACAGCTTCAACTTGTCACCCTTCCCATGGTGCATCTCCCTGCCATGGCTCCAACCTTCTCTTCAAAGAGTTCTGTCTTTCATCTATCAGAGTGTCAGTGTGTTGTGTCTGATATCAAAATAATGTTTAGCCTTCACTGGTTTGGCTCAGTGGATAGAGTGTCAGCCTGCAGACTAAAGGGTCCAGGTTTGATTCAAGCCAAGGGCACATGCCAGGGTTGTGGGCTAGATATCTCCCCTCCCCAGTAGGGGGCATGCAGGAGGCAACCAATCAATGGTTCTTTCATCATTGATGTTTCTGTCTCTCTATCCCACTTTCTTCCTCTCTGAAATCAATAAAAATATAATTTAAACAATAATTTTTAAATCTTATAAAACAGTTAACACAGATGTGTCCCTTCAGATCTCACAGTGGCGTGTGCTTTACCACAATAGCAAACATATATTGGGCACCACTTGGCACTAGAGTCTGTATGCCAGGTTACCTGAAATGACACATATGTCAAGTTTAGTGCTTGGATAAAAACTGTGTTTCTGTTAATGCTAAACTCTATGTAAAATGTCAGACCTTATCAGAGTCTCAAGGTAGATGGTAAAATAATGGGGGAAAATAGACACGTATTAATGTTTCTATTGGAGTGTTATATAATAGGTGTTCCATTTTAATAGTATTGAATACTAGATAATTATGGATTCAAATATGTGTCAAACTCTATTTCAGGACATTGACAGTGATTATATAGTACCTACATAATCAGCAGTGTCAGTATTACTTAAGATAAATATATTCCCCAAATAAAGTATTATTACTTAAACTGAGGAATGAAACGTCTTGAGACATATAGTAGTCACAACTATAATTTTCTTGTGTGCATTGGCTAAAACAAAACAGCGTTTTGTTCTACAGATATTTCCTTTACTATACAACAAACTTCCATTTTTTCACTTCTGAATATTCAAGGACAACTTGCTCTTTGACCTTTTCCATGATTCTCCCCTCCATCACACCATTCTCTCTTCTCTCTTTTTAGAGAGGATAGAACCAGTGGTGTATTGGTAAACTGGCTGGGGTGGGGACAAGTGCTGACTAACTGAGATTGGCAATTTCTGTGATTTAAAATACTCCTACCATGGCCAATTGTAAAGATGGCTATGTTTAACATTCAGCTTGCAAAATTCCTAAAAATTTAATGGTCTCTCACACATGGTTGCAAGCCACTTTCTACAGGATAGAACTCTCCATCATTTATTGTCCCCTGCGCATGCCCCACCATTAACATTTTTCATGCTGTGTTTCAAACATGCATTAAAAATGTTTTTATTAATTTTGAGAGAGAGAGAAAAGAAGAGGGAGAGAAAGAGAAACATCGATGGGAGAGAACCATTGATTTGTGCCTCCTGTGCACTCTGCTGGGAATCGATCCAGTAATCCAGGCACGTGCCTTGGCCTGGAATCAAACTGCAACCTCTCATTGCATGGGACAATGCTCAACCATCTGAACCACACTGGCCAGGGCTCAGACATGAATTTTACTATTATTTCCTTATGTAAGACTATAAACACAGCGAGGTTGGGATAATTTCTTGACCATCTTTGTATTCCAGGTTTAATGGTGTACTTCTAACTCTAAGGATTCAACATGATCATATGTAGCTTTCTAGTTCCACCATAGTGTGAAGGTTTTCCCCTTAAGTCCGGTTCTGAGCAAAGAAATTAAAGACCAAATCATTATCCAGTAATGCATGTGAGCAGTAAACATGCTGTTTCCTAGTGTTGGCATGAATGTCCACCTGTTAAATTAAGCACTTTAAATATTCATTGAGACCCCTAGTTCTTCACAATGACAGGAGGCTCTACTACCCTAGAAATGAATATAATTGACATAGATTCCATTCACTTATAGTCTATGTTACCCCACCATCACCTACATTTAGAAGTTTTATGCTTTGGATATTTGACTTTTTCAGTTTCATAGTAGAATTAAGTCTTACTAGCATTCCCCCCCCCCCCCCCCTAACAGATTTTTAACTAATTTTTGGGGGGCCAATTTTCTTCTATTTTCACAAAAGGAGCTGGTGGCTGGTCTCCACTTGTGTCAAACAAATACCAGTGGCTACAGATTGACCTCGGAGAGAGGATGGAGATCACTGCCGTGGCCACTCAAGGCGGATATGGGAGCTCCAACTGGGTGACCAGCTACCTCCTGATGTTCAGCGACAGCGGCAGGAACTGGAAGCAGTACCGACAGGAGGACAGCATCTGGGTATGTGTCTCCAAAGAACGCACAGTCTCTCAGGAAAAGAGTACGGTCCACCTGCATGCTGCTTACAAATCTCTTAACCTACAGCGAGAAACAGAATCTTTAGAATTACTTAGAAAATGTCTTTCAAGGGAAAATACAGTAATACTTATTTTCTAATATATTTTATGATCTAATTTGTGAAACTACTGAACTTAAATTTATTTCACAGGGTCCTCAGAAATTGAAAAAAATCTAATTAGTCCACTAAATAGTGTGAAAGTCTAAGAAATAAAACATGTATAAAATATTTTTTTTTCAATAATGTAGTAGTTTTGTACTTTTTAAAAGGTTGGTCAAAAGAATTTATCTCTTTTATTTCCTCTGATGACTGAGATTTCTGAATTAAATCCCCAGTATATGGAGGTTTTTATAGATGATATTTGGAGTAATTATACATTTTATATATACATATTTATATGATTTATATATAAACCATTCTCTAGTGTTTTTAAAGTGGGTAAGTGTGTAAAATGATGTGTTTTGTGGACAGTGGCACAGTTCTTATAAGAGAGAGATGGACAAGGAGGCAGTGTGTAAAAATGTGGGTGGTATTTATAGTTGACTGATTGTATATAAATGGCGTGGAAGAGGGAAGCTAAAGGAAGTTTGCTTGGTGGTGGAGCAAGGACTTCTTTTTGGTGTATAAAAACCTTTATATGGATCTTATAATGAATAGGGACAACATACAACAATCAAAGAGCTATATTTTCTTCCTCTGGCTGAGCTGCCAGAACCAGGGAAAATGAGTAACTTAATGAAGCATCATTCTTAGCACACAGATAATTTGGAAACCTATTTGGGCTCAGAATGATAATTTTCTTTGATCAGTCAACTGCCTTTTTTTTTTTTTTTTGAAACTTCCCAGAATTCCTTTATACATTATAAACGCGCTGAAGAAATGGCCTATGATTCACTCACCTCTGTATCTCTGAAGCACTTGGTGGCCATTCCTAGCATTTTACTGATGTGAATTGAGTTGAGAAGTAACCCTATTCTTTCTCTAGAGAGAATAGCAGTTGGGCTGGAAGAAGTTGCTTATTAGCATTTTTGAGAAAAGCTGCCTTAAAAACTAAAGCAGGTTGAAGTTGTGTATAGGAGCGAGAATAACTGGATGTTACGGTTGAATTATTTCCATGAAAACTATTCAAACTAGGGGCAAAATAAACAGTAATTATGATCCAATAACAATGAAAGCTTAATGAGATATTTTTTTTTGTTTTACTCTTTTTCTCAATTGAGCATTGGATTTTAAACTAGATAAGGAGTGGCAAATTCATGATAATATTTAGCTGTGTTAAGTAAAATGTATGCTTTGACATTTTTAAAGATGGTAGATCAACCATGAAAATAGTTTTGCCATTCCTCAAGTTTGGGAAATGCCAAACCGAGACAGTGTCATTTGCCTTTTTTGGTTACTCCTATTAAAGGTGAGGTGTTGAGGATGACATAGTGGCACAAATAATACCCTTAACTGATCCAAACCAATCAATGTAAAGACAAATGGCATCTAGCACAATTACCGGTCAAGGTAATATTATTTTTTAATATGTACTGTCTTCACCTTTTGAGTGTGAGCACACTGAAAATAGAGGCTGTACCTTCTTACCTTTCATCTCAGCATCATTTCGTAAATCCTACCTGCACCTGGCATGTTGCAGGAAAATACTGTATGGTCTGTTGGATGAATGCACAAAGGAATGAATAAGTGAATGGTGAATAAATGAAATGCACTTTTATTATCATAGTAACTGAAAGTGACTCCTCCTTATAGTACATTTACATTGCACTAGTTGAATATACTTAGAGTGAGGATGGTACATTTCTCTCTCCCCTATAAATTATGAACTTTTTACTTATGTGGGAGGGTTTATCTTTCTCAGTTTTGCATTTCTGGCATTCATCATCCAGTGTGGCACATGACTTTCGTTGAGTGAATTATGGGGGGAATAAAATGAATGAATGTATTTTAATACATTGATCTCCTAACATGTGCTTAACCATGTGCAAAATCCTGGGAGGTATTAAAAGAGCTCATGTTAATGTCAGGAAAGATAAAGCACATCAGAGCAAAACGAAAAATGATTCAGAGGAGCACACAAATGTGAGGTACAGACTTCTAGAGGCTTGGAAATTGGCAGAATAGGGAGCTCACTGGGACTGAATTTGTCCAAAGAGCAGGGTTTACCATTGTATTGAAAGAAGCATTAGGACTTAGATTATGGAAGGATCAAGGAAACTATTCCATGAAGCTAGACAAGTGTGAACAGACCATGCACATTAGAGACATCCAATTTCCCATGTATTAACCCATCAGACTGCTAGTCGAAATGGACTGTCAGGTGGGGGAAGGTGTAGATAATACTTTTGGATCTGATAAAGAAAGCTTGTGGATAGCTCTGAATGTCAAGATCAAAATTAAGACTCGGTACATCACTTATCATGACCACACATAAAATAGCTTAGGCTCTGGTGCAGATAGCACCAACCCAAGTCCTCTGGGTGGGTTGCTGAGTTCTGTTCTCCACACTCAGGCCCCACTCTGGGGGAAGCACACTGTGTGTGTGAACCTGCTGTTTGCCAAAGCAGGAACAGGGAAACTTAGTGACAGTCTCACCAGGATAACACAGATCACTTTGATTGGGTTTCTCTTTTTTTCCGCCAAAGAACAATTTTTAATTGAGGTACAGAGTAAGGAATGTAGCATTTTCTAAATATGCATTTTCTTTTTTGTGTTTTTGCATGTTTTGACAATTTTTTTTCTAGATATTATGGGAGCAATACAAATTAAACAAAACTTGCCAGTTTAATTTAAGAGCTTCACAGTCTGCTCCAGATGATACAAATAAATCCATGAAAGAGAGTTAGAAAACACATAAGGCATTACCCGAGTGTGTGGTGGAAGAAGAAAAGATAACTGTTACAGATTTAGAAACAAATAAAACAAGCCCATCAACATGGATTGAAATGCTGCAGGGAGGATGCCTCGCTCTCTCATTTGATCCCATTTCGAGCACGGGTGAAAACAAAGACTTTTGTGTACCCAAAAGAATTAATAAAACACCCTTCTGCTTCTTCCAAATAATCTTTAAAAAGAAGGGCAGAATACTTTATTTATTATCATACAATTCATGTACATGTTTCATAGAACTGTTAACTTGACTGATACAATGATATTATAAAAATTACACCTTAAAAATATTTCTTCAGTAAAAGTTTTTAGTTCAGTGCTCATCAGTATAATTTATACCAATGGCCCTACTAGATGCCATATAAATATTTTCCAAAAACTCAGAAAATGCAAACTACAAAAGTGTTGATAAATTGAAGACAAAATAAACACCCTCACCATCGATGTTCAAAAGACTTTTTAAGTCAGTTTGTTGTAAAGGATTGAAAAAGCAAATGTAAGGTATAATTTTCACTCATCTAAGAACAATTGCTGAAATTTCATGAAACTAGCATCTTGGAAATTATTTTAAGTAGATCCACGTGTGCAGGCTCCTTTTACTTTAAGACCAAACTGTTTACATTCTCTCTGGCACAGGCCCAAGATTCTTTCACACCATGGACTGTAAGGACGAGGAATGGGATGGCATCAACTTTATGAATTATTTAAGGAAATATGATAGTTATGCACAAGGATAGTTTACTTTATTTAGATGGATTTCAATTGTATCTGATTTTTCAAACAAAAAAATCTTTAGCATATTTCCAAAGTTAGTATGCTTTTTTTTTTTTTTTTAATTAAAAGTGTCTAATGTCATTGTCTGGGTTTGGGTGGTGAAAGACATGAATCCCCTGTGACATAATCAATTGGATGGCAGTATCACCTGTCAGATGGTATTTATGTCATTGCTATCACTGCGAATTATTGACTTGTTAACTCTGCAAGCCACACAGGGCAGAAACACTACCTGCAAAGATGTTAACATGTATTTGTCTCCAGTCAAATAACACACTGTGGGGCGGGGGTGGGGTGGGGTGGGAGTCGGGGAGGGGGCCCATTTAGTAGGAAACCAGAGCAGGCAGAAATATATGTGGAGGTGTGCTGTGAGCTTGGTGCACTCCCACCTTCTGAGATACATCTATCCTAGCCCTGTCCCTGTGGCGAGCCTTTTGTTGAGTGACCTCAACTACAATTATTTGTGGTTGTTGTAAAGTACAACAGTACTAATGCCATGTACATCATGGCAACTCATCAAGCTTAATGCAATGCAGTGCTTGCCTCAGTACTGGACAGATGCCTAGAGCATGCGTTAAGCTTCTTCTGCCTCCCCAGGGAATCTCCTATTTATATTTCTACTTAACCATGAGCTCTCCACCTTTGTCAAAATGAAAATGGTTAACCTACTATTATGAGGTTAAAGGTGGCTGCGTTTGGGTTCTTAATGTGGAATCAATCATGAATCTAAACAGTTTGCTAGGTACCTTCTCTGTCAAGTAGTGTGGTTGCTTTCACCTTGCTGATTTGTGCTCATTCGATTACATATTATGTCAGTCCCTTCTCATAAACTTCTTTGGATACCCATATGGGAACTTTATATTGATATGTAATATACAACAAATATGTGAATGCCTATGAATTGTAGGTACATATTATAACTATAGAATAAATGATTATGCTGCTCCACATTCTTCAAATTGATCTGTCTCTAAGCAAGCAAGTTAAACATTATTTGAAGAGAGTGAGTAGAGTTAGCAGTAAACTTGATTTGGTTCCTTCTTCAGAGTGCACACTTACATTCAAGATCATTTCCAAATCATCAACCAGAGAATAACATGTTTTAAAACCATTTTACAACTTGCGTCTCACATTTTACCATGTGACAGTTCAGTGACAACATCTTCCCTTTTCTCTGTTCCTCTTGTCATTCCTGTGATGTGATGTCACTGATGTCTACTTGTGGCTTTCTCATTCCCAGTCTCAGGAGGCTATATTTGTAGTTCTTCTCTCTTAGAAG